ATAACAATTTAATAGTAAAATTTGATTATTTACAATGTTAACATTCATTTTAGTAGAATGGGTAGACTCGCCCCATACGAGAGATTTGTCAGCAGTTCTATAAAAATATACAGTAACAGCGTAACTGTTAATATTTTCTAAAATCGATTTCACAGCTTTAAAGAGGGATAAATAGCGATTCCGAAACACCTATTAAAAGCCTTTTTTCTTTAATATTTACAAAAGTTTGACCACTTGAAAGTTGACAAACTGAAAAAATGGGTAGACTCGCCCCGGTTTACGGTATTTTTTTACAGAATCAGATCAGTTAAAATTATCGATACATTCCTTTTAATCACTAAAAAAGCTCAGTACTTCAAAAAGTAGAATATGTTTTTTTCAGTAAAGAAAAAAAGAATTTTCCCAAAAATAAAAATTATTTATTTCTAAGTCGCGTAAGGACAACATAATTTATTTACCTAATTTGTAAGTGCTATTGCTAATGAATTGATAATATTCATTACCTTGTGTTCTGAAGATAACATTTTGAAAGAAGAAGCACTTATACGTGTTTTTCAAATTTTATGCGAATAATTATTGAAATGGCATTAATATTAAATTACTTAGTCTACTTTTTCAAAACACTTAAAAAAATAGTAAGAAAAATGAAAGCAATGTGGCCAAATTTTAACTATGCAATAACGATATTTTGGACAAGGTAGGACAAACAATTAATAAAAAAATATAAAGGTACATTTGCAAACATCTATAACACAAAATAAAATACAAATAAAAAAATTGCAGCAAAATCAGTTTCAATTTTTTTTTGACATGATTATTCCTTTATAGATTTTTTCAATAAATTTCAATGACGCATTTACGAATTTTATCGAACTTGTTGCCTTTTATATCAGTTGCTCTAACATACGCCAGATTTTTTTTTACTTACTGAAATAGTTTATCATTCTAAATCGCTTATTAACTATTTCTGCTTAACTGTACATTCAAGAAAAGAAGCATAACAAGGTACTACAATGCAACTTAGTTTTAACTAAGGATGTATTTTTTTTACCGTAAATACGTGACTTCAAATTTACAGGTTAAAACCATTTAATAGTTTGATCTTATTAAAAAAGTTAGTTCTCTAAGCAACAGCAGTTTTTGCTCGCATTTTAATCTTAATGAATAATCTTTATTAAAAAATTAGAGCGAAATCTGACAATAAGGAAATACCTTTGCTGAAAATAAAAACACTATCATAAGAGTGCTAATAAAATAAAATCATTTCTCTCGCTGAAGCGTTAATAATAAAAATCAAATGTTAGCATTGAGGCATAATTTATCTATTTGTTTTTTAATCGATATGACATGAACAGGATTGCATTGTATATCTTTATAGTTCTAAATTTTAAAGCTTCCAAATTCAAAGCTCTCGCTGTGTATATTTTATTTTTTGAATAAGATCACAACTGTAAATTCATTAGTTTATATGTATATATACATTTTTACATAAAAGTTTATTTTTAACAAATTATTTACATTTAGAGCTCTTTAACTATAAATAATTATACACTGAATAATAGAGATACCAGTTATAACAGTTTCATTGCTTTGAGCGCTCACTAATTATTGAACACTGTATTTATAAATTCATTTATTTTCATTCGTTAAGCTCTACAGCGGATTTACAGCAGTGTCAGTCAAATTATAAATGAGCAATTACTTTTTGTTTAACAGTGAATTTTTATTATTTCTTCTCCTATTATAGGAAATTAGAGTTCTTGACAACGCTCTTTTTCATTTAAAAATTTATATTAAAATATTTTATGTCATGATTAAGGATATTTTTACCTAACATTCAAATAACAAATAAGTTCGAAAAATGTTGAAATAACTGCTGTTAAATAATGTAAAAATATTGTACGTATTTACTGTGCGTTGTTTATTTTAAAATGTAAGACTTTGTGGAAATCTTAAAATTAATTTTAATGTATTTTGAATATAAGTTTAAACTACTCTCTAGCGAATTATGCTGGATTTTAATATTAGTTTAGGTTTCAAATAGTAATTGATGTACTTTTAACATGCATACTTTTCAAAATGTTTAGTCTTTAAAAACAATGTATTAAGCTGCGTAATTGCTATTACATACCTTAACATTGTGGTAGCGTCGTTCTAATAATTCCGTCACTTTTGATGTCCGGTTGACACACATTTTTTAAAAGATATTTTATAATTTTTCTTGTAGAAAGACAAATAGTACACACTTTCAAGAATAAAAAAAATCAAAGATGTGAGACATTAAAGAAAAAATTTTTTTTTAGAGAATTTAGCTAATAAATTGAAAATATAGTAACATAAAGCCTAATTTTGCCCGTTAATTTTTTTCCACAAACAAAACAAAGTAATTCGACTCTCTCATATTTTACACATATTTAATACTCTAATGACATTCTAAAACGGTGTGAAATAAAAATGCGTTATAATTTAGGTTTTTGCCTAACTCAATAAAGCTGTTCTGCAAACTGGTATTAAGATTCCTATCAAGCATTTGTTTAAATATTTTTTTAACCTACTGGTTCAGATTTTATATTTGGCATCATATATATATATATATATATATATATATATATTAGTATGTGTGTGTGTGTGTGTGTTTTAATAATTAACTTTACGATGGAGAAGACATTTTTGTTCAAATTGTTGGAAGACCACTAATATCTAATTATTCATCACTCTTATCTTACTTATTTTTACACTGTTCTGAAAAAAAAAATTTACTCATAATTTTCTCTTAAAACTCGTAATACTCTTAATTAATATTCTTAATTTTGAGCTTGTTTTCGATTTATTGATGATTTAATTATCTTTTATCTTCGGGATTATACATTTTGTTAAATAGTATTTACCCCAAGGAATCAACCTTGCTTCGTAATCATGAAGATTATATTAAATTTAATTTTTTGGATTTTCTTAAAAAGGAAGAAAATTCCTGCATTGCTGTTTTATACGACAAAGGAAATGATATTAAATATAATGTAAATGAACTAATTATGTGGAATTCTAATGTCTCTAAAAACATTTATTTAAATATTATTTTTAGTCAAATGAACAGAATTAAAATATATATATATATATATATATGGGTCATTCTCACGAAAACTGTCATTTTTCAGTTCATAAAATCCCAAAAAAGTAAAGTGAATAAAAAGCTCTGAAACTTTTTATATTAATAGAAATATGTAATGGCATTATAAAGAAAGTATATATCCTATAAATTATACTTAATATTTAAATTAATTAATTTTTTAAATAATTAATTTATAATTAATTAATTTATAATAATTAATAATTAATTAATTAATTTAATAAATAAATTAATTAATTTAATAAATTAATTTATTAATTTTTTAATTTATTTTTCAAATTAATTAATAAGTAAATTAATTATTTTCACTATTTAAAAAGTGAGGGAATGACACTAATAGTGAGGGAATGATATTTTATTTTAATACATGTTTTTATCTAAGTTACATCTACCTAAAGTTTGAAAATGATAACATACTAAGTATATCTAATATTTATTATAATTTAGTCTTATATATTTAATAGTTTTTACAGGTTTGGGAAATAAAATTGGCTGGCACGATTGAACAAAAAAAAATTTGATAATATACTCATCTTGAATCATTCCCTCACTTCAGCGTCATTCCCTCACTTTATACACTAGTGAGGGAATGACGAATTCAATAAAATTTAAAAATAACAGTTAGGCCTAATTAATTTCTGAAGTCAATCACATACAATTATATTCATACAAGAAAGCAACATATAATTATCCACTTTCTCGATGAAGTTGTATTTTATTTTACTCTAAAAAATGACATGAGGGAATGACAAATGTAAAAAATTTTACCTGGTTTGATTCATTCAAATTTATTCCACAGCAAAGCTTCTTTAAGTTGAAGATGGAAACATACTGCAATTTTGTTCTATGATGCCAGTTGTTAACTTCTGAAGTTTTTATTAAAATATTTTTATTCTAAGAAGATTGCAGGTGATAAGAACATTGTTGTGAGGGAATGACGCGAAACACTGGGGACAAAGTTTAAAATAGTGCTGTGTTAATATTTTTATCAGAAATTAAATTTAAAATTGATTTTCTGAATTCTATATTTCAGTATTCTGAAATAAAAAACACGAATTTGTAAAAAAAAAATTTTTATTTCAGAAACAATTTTTTTCTTTTTTTAAATCAGCAGTGGGGACAAGTGAGGGAATGACATATTGGTATATTTTAATTACCTAAAATAAATAAAAAATAAAAATTGATAATTTTGTTTTTATTCTTTTGTTAGCTTGCATTCTGAAGGACACTTTCCCTGAATTTTTTTTTTCGTAAGCTGTAAAACAAACATAAAATATACTGGGGACATGAAAATGACTGTTTTTGGGAGAATGACCCATATATATATATATATATATATATATATATTTACTTATGTATGTATACATGCAAGGAAGCAAGGTGATGGACGCGCAGAGAGTAGTGCTTGTAAAAATTCTTCGCAAGTTTTAATTAAAAGGATCTAACAATTCCCCAATCAAATATTTTCGTGATTGTATTTCTGCGTTATTATTTAAATATATCCATAATTTTAATTATAATTTTTAAAAAAATGTATATACGTATCTTTAAAATTATTTTTTCTAACCTTCCATATGGGTTCTAACTTTTCATGCATATATTAATTTGTGCAGATGATATTTTATCAGAAAAATAAAAACATACACAAAAAGGTGGTCCTCAACTATTAAATATACACTTCTGACGGATTTCAATTTTTGACCTTCAAAATATAACTATATTAGAGATAACCATAGTCTAGAAAAAATTTGATCCCAATTTTTTATTCTGGAAAGAAATCAAACATTTTGGTTCCTTATTTTAATTTCACTTCTGGAGTAAATAGTTAAAACTATAAGATTATGTTTTTAATATTTGAAGCTTTATTTTAAAGATGCAATATTAAAAAAAATCTTATTTTGAATACATGTTGATGGTAATAATTTAAATGATTTTAAACGTAATGTGATGCATTATACAGTATTTTAGGAAATTTACTAATAGATTTTGAAGTTGATAATTGTAGTTAAAAGCTCTTATTCTCTAATCGAACATAATATGATTTTTTAATGTTTATGATTTTCAAATCCTTAAAAACTTTTTACCGTACAAAATTATGATCTGGAAGATATAGTTTTAATAGTTTAGCCAGGTAACTTATCAAGAAATTGAGCACCGTCATGTAATTTCACAGTATTTTACATGCTCTCAAATTTCTTAGTTTAGAGCTTCAAATTACAAATATGTTGATTTGGTCAGTTATTCAGAATGTAGCGTGTTTTTTAACACCGTGCGCACGTTCTTCGTATTAAACCAGAGCAGTTTTTTTCCATCTTGATGCAACTTTTCCAAGCTTTTAAAACATTAAATATGATAACCAGAAGGCAAATTTTTCTAGGTTGACTCCGATTTGTAATACATTAAAACATCTTCCCTTGAAATAATTTTCATACTTATATATATGAAATACAAACAAAAGAATTGTCTCTTTTATGTGAATCAAACTTCATTGTAGAGTTTAGGAATTTTTCGTGAATGTTTTAAACTATGCCAAAAATGCTAACGCAATAGGTTGCATTCACTGGAGAGTTAGTTTTCCACTTATCTAATACTACAGCAGATGTTTTTTATTTATGACGAGATGAAAAGAAAACTAAAATTATTATTACGATATCAATATATGTATGGTCCAGAAACAATGTTTACAAAGCAGATCTTATTTTATTGGGTACCGTGTTCTTCTGGAATAAAAAAGTAACTCATTGGCTATTAATATGATATGCCACAGAGCTCCGAATGTTTCGTTAGAGTAACAAAAAGCAAACCTGTATCCTAAAGGAATAAAAAGTCTTTACTTTAGCAACAAAAACACTTTTAACAAGCTTTAGTCTTAATTGCTAAGAACACATCATATTTCTCCATGAATTGTACAAAGAGCTCAACTTGAGGAGCTACATCTGATTAATCATCATTTCGGTTTGCGCTACACTTATGAATATATTCAATTCTCTTCATTCAGAATGTATTAAAGAATTTAGTTAATTTTATAACGTTCCTAAACTTGCTTTTTAACTGCCTTTGACTACCAAGTAATATACTTGTTATGAATAACAGTTTTCGGAGAAAACTTCAAGCTTCGTAAAATTGAACGTTCTTCATACAACTCATTTTTTACAGTGTTAGCAAGTCAATGTAAGTACACAAACTAAAATCATTTATTCTGTTTGCAATTAATGTCCGACATTGATGCCAATAAATGGAGGTATACACGTTAACTTATCAAATACTTTCTTTGGAATGCAGAATAAAATTGTCTTGGTAAATTTATTTTTAAAAATGCCCGACTTCAGAATAAGTAGAAGCACCAATAGATGGCGTTAAAGATCAAATACGACACTGGAAATATAACCCGAGAATATTTGTCTATTTTGTTGACATCTTTGATTCGGGGAACGGAAGCCTTGAGGGCGTTGGCTCTCTTTTTTAAAGCTTGAATAACTTTTGGCTTTCGCCCGTATTCCATCCTACTTCGGCGCCCCAAGCCACTAGGAACTCTAGGGCTATAAGAAGTGCGTAAAGATAAGTTACTCAAGCGCAATGAGGGCGGAAATATGGCTTCCGTCTCACTAGTAGCATTACTCAGAGACTTCCTTTTCCGTAAACAAGGGATCGGGGACATTCTGACATCCTGGAGTTCTATTATTTCTTCATTCTGAAAAGAAAACGAATACATATAAAACATGCAACGTTTGAAAAACATCCATAAATACTTTTGTTGTAAGTCTAGCTATATATATTGAAGTGATTTATGATAAACTTTTTTCTTCAGAAACTTAAAACTTTTTTTTTCTCATTTGTTCTACTTGGTAAAACATATAAGATTAATTGAATGAACATGAAAAATAAATACTTAGTTTTCTATTAAAAAAATTCTCATTGCTAAAGTAAATGAATCCTGCCAGCAATATGTATGCCAAGTGCTAGGGTCTATTAATTTCTATTAAATTTTAAAACTATGAAACTTTTTGAAATCTTTCTGTAAGACAAATGCAATTTTATACTGTGATTTATATTTTTGCCGATTTTACTCCTTATTTTAGTTATTTAATTGGAATATGTTTAATGGTATATCAATCAATTATAAAAGTTTTAAAATTTACTATAATTTGCGCAATTGTAGAAAAATAATAAATTTTCATGAAAAAAACAAAATAAATTTTAAAATAAGTAATTCTTAAAAATAATTATCTCTTTTTAACTATGAAAAAAGGTTTGTTTTATTTTATTTATTTATTTTATTTATTTATTTAAGTATTTTTTTGTAAAGGAGTTTTTTTTATTTTCTCAAAGCAGTTAGGAAAAATTTGAAACAATCCATCGTGCATTTTTTTTTAAATGTAGTTTTTGAAATCGCAGTGAAAAATTATAAACTATCTATATTAAATGTATTGTTGAATAAAGTGTAATAACTTTTTCTTTATTGACCACAAATTCTCACTGGATGTAAAAGAATTTTTATGAAATTTTTCGATGAAATTTTAATAAGTAACTGAGTATTTATATAAAAAAGCTGAGTTGTTCTAAATTTGCAAAAAAAAATTCAAACATAATTTTTAATTATAATTTTTTTCCTTAAAAATATTGAGTTAATTCAAAAAAGTTTAATGTATTTGTTCATAGGCGTAACTTTTATTGACTTTCTTCCGAATGACTAACTTTACATTTTCGAATTTTTGGAAACTATAACGTTTAAAAGCTATTTTTTCAAAATTTAAACTATTGTATTAGTGACAGATAAAAAGTATCAGAGCTCACTATTAGCGAATATTTTGAAGCTAGAATCTTTATAAATTTGCTAGAATTTCTTGCTAATTTTATAATGCGTAGTAATTGCTTATAATGCGTAGTAGAATATAGTTAACCCTCTGAGCGTCAGTTCCGGATTTCTTCAAACTTTTAGTTGAAAACTACCCTGCATCAAAAATCTCTTTCTCCCATTTTATTCAATGGGAGAGTGGTGCGTAGTAGGGAAATTTCCGTGTAAGTTTCCCCTGGGGCTCAACGTTTGGAGGGTAAAAACAATTACATTTTAGGCCCTACGTATGATTAAAGTATAAGAGGGAGTACGAAAATAAGTTTGCCTTGTTATTTTCTTCTAGAAATCGAAGAATAATGGGGAAAGCAAAAAAACGGTTGAGCATGAAAGACACCATTTGGTATCGTTCGACAATAATCAGTTAAAGGTGCTCTCGCAGCGTCTGAAGAAAGTAGGGGCGAGCCTCTCAATCCAGTGCAGTATTGTTGCTCGTTGTTGAACTTTTAGTTGATTTGAACTGTCAATTCTACTAGGTACTGTTACACCCTGTCAAAATTAAAGGAGGCTACACGGAAAAAGAGGCCTAGATTTCTCACATCTGGCGTTCTGTAATCGAATGACAAGAGAGACCACATTCGGCAACAGCTTTTCAAAACCATATTGCAACTCTTAGTTTGGAGCGCCTCAACCATCCGCCACCCTGTTCTGATCTCACACTCAGTCACCTCTTTTAACGGCTTTGAAGAGAGATCTTTGATGCTGGCTCTTTGAAAAAATTCTCAAGTTACATAAGCCGTTCCACGCATTCACAAATGTTTTTTTTTTCTTCTGGTCTTTTTAAAACTTATAAAATGGTATGACAAATGTCTCAACGCAATTTGTAATCATTTAAAAAAATAAAGTTACCTCTTATCTTAGAAAATATTTCATTATATTTTCTGTCTTTCATACCCACCTCTGTCCTCAGCCGTTTAGGAGAAATAATTATCGGACTCCACTTTAGTATTCCAATTTAGAAAAGACCGATTTTATTATGTTATCAACATTATTAAGCTACATAAAAACAAGACACAGTGATGGAAAAGTTTACTTACTGGACAAACAACGTCATTTGCTTTATTTTCCTTTTTTGTTTTCTTTTTCGCTCTAGCTCCCCAATAAGTGTAATTTACAGCAGCATATTCTAAAAGTGCGGCGAATACAAATACAAAACACATCACTAGATATATATCGATGGCTTTGACGTATGAAATACGAGGCAGAGACGAGCGTACTCCTGTGCTAATTGTAGTCATGGTCAATACAGTGGTAATACCTAAAGTGAAAAAAGAATAAAGTAAAATAGAGTCCTTTAGCTTGATTTTATATATTTACTGAGTCATTAAAAGCTTCTAAAAAAGTCTGATCTATACTAGGCAGTCGCTGTACTTAGTTTGTTATTATTATTATTCTTTCAATACAATGTGAATGAATTAGAGAAAATAAAAACGCACCTAAACTTTTAAGATACCAGGAATTAATTTTGATTCCAAAATTAATGACCTATTCCGAAAGTTTCAAGCAATAAAAAATTTAATGTCGAAAATAAAGCTTAAAATTTTATTATTCAAGAAGGTTTTATGAGGTGTTTCAAAAAATATGACTTAAATAAAAAGATATTGTTCACTTGTTTTTAAATTGTAACTTTGTTTCATATGCGAAAGATATATATATATGTAAGGTATATAAATGCAAAATATGTAATTTATGTTGTTCATATTTTAAGAAAAATTTAGATCATATTTTTGTAGACGAAATAATCTTTATTTAAGACTACACCTAAATACAATATTGATAATATTTCATGAAAAAATAAACAGTTACATTTGTTGAAAGCAAAATTAAAAAACAGAGAAATTTACAGGCAGGATACCTGCTCATTTAGAGCATATTTCTATTTTGTTATGTCGTAGGTTTGTACTCAGTTAATTCTCTGCACGAGCAGCCTGGTTCTGGATGGAAACTAAATTATACGATTGAAACTCTTTAGACAAAATGCAATTTGTAACACAATTAAATATTTTTTTATTTAATTTATTTGTAGTTCAATTTTCAGCATTAGTTTACCGTACGCATAGTAATTTAAGCAAAGTTTAAACTACTTTTTTACTGCGTAAATGCAACATTCCCATGAAGATCATGAAAAATAAGAAAATAACCTTTAGTTAATGCTGTGCACTAATTACGTTAAATAAAAATGCCGGGTTATCAACCACTAAAAAAATACAATTACAATTCACTAGTATATAAGATATGTTAACTCGAGTCAATTGTTGGGGTACCCTTTGATGCATGAAGATCAATATTGTCGATAACTTCTCCCCCCAAAATGTTGTTTTTGTTACACTAAGAGAAGTTCCTTGAAAAAAAATTGTTAAATAACAGTTTATTAATTGTTATTTTACCGTATTCACACAAACAGTCAAATGACCGAAAATAAGATGCTACTGAAGCTGTTAACAGTATTGATCAGTTTATTAATTGCTTTTACCTAATACGGCAAAACAACCAGAATTGTGTCGCACCACCTAATGAAGCCATTTAGTTCTGATGATAGTTGTAAATGTTTAAAAAAATGTTTATTCATGATAATTGTAAATGTTTAAAAAAATGTTTATTCATGATAATTGTAACTGTTTAAAAAAACGTATAATTTCGTATTCATAGTTTCTTAACCATACTAGTAGTAAACAGCTTCCATGCCGTAAATGCAAAAAAAAATGTTCTTTATCGTAAACTTTACGGTTAATTAGATGGATCGTAATTGAAAATAGATACTGCCGATGATTTAACCAAAATTATAGAATGAAAGTACCAGAAAATCAACCAAGTTATAGCAAGAACTTATTTCGGAAAAAAGAACCAATGAATAGAGAGTTGGACTGAACAAGAGCAGTGTGACATGTATAGGTATGAATAAAAGAGTTAAAATAAGAAATAAAAATGCAACAAAAAGGAAACAAATAAAAAAAAAGATTACGAGAAATAGTTCAAAATTGCTGTGAACTTGATAAAAAGTATAATCCATTTCATTACCATACTTCGGAATACAAAATGATCCACTGAAATGAAAATTGCCATAATTCATATACACTCATGGACAAAAAAATTAGCGCATCAAGATGGAGTCGTCAAAATGGAACGAAATTTTACATACGTAATGACTACTTTGATGTAAGTAAATGATTAGAAAATCAAAGATTATCGTTTTTCTTTGATTTTCTAATCATTTACTTACATCAAAGTAATCATTACGTATGTAAAAATTTGTTTCATTTTGATGACTCCTTCTTGGTGCTCAAATTTTTTTTGTCTATGAGTGTATATTTCACACTCCGACGTAAGTCATTAATATTGCACAAGCCTTTAAATTGGTTGCGGCACAACGTTTAAACCCTCAGCATTTTAAGTTACCAAAAAAAGAGGATTGACAGTTTGTTGGCTTATGACGTACGGTCAGTGATGAGCTTTTAGTTGGCAAAAACCTGTCAGCTACATACTACATTCACAGGTAGATTTGTGAAGTTTATGAAGCTTCCTACAGGCACGCTGACAGGAAATTTTTCTACTCCATGACAATGGCTCTCTTTACAGCTCCGTCCTGAGCTTTAATTGAACTCTTTTGGTTGGGAGGTTTTGGACCACCCCTTAATACAGCGCTGACCTTGCGGTAAGTGATTTTCATCTTTTCCGATGCCTCAAACATCAATTTGGCGGCAATCAGTACAACGATGATGAAGACGTGAAAACTGTCGTGACCGCTTGGTTATCGAAACAGGCGGCAAATTACTATAAATAGGGTATTCTAGATCCAGTTGTAAGCTATGATAAGTGTTTAAGCAAACTTGGCAACTAGACTGAAAAAAGAGTAAATTATTTAGAATTAAAAAATAAATTTATATACAGAAATTGCATTTAGTTGTTGAAAATATTAATAAAAGACGATACTTACCAAGTGCCACTCTTGCTGATGTAGCTTCATGATTTATCCAAAATGAGACCCAAGACAGCATAACGATGAGAATGGACGGCAAATATGTTTGAAATATAAAATATCCAATATTTCTTTTCAGTTCAAAGCTCAGTGATAAACGTTGGTATGTCCCTAAAATTAATTTAGATTTTCATTATTAACAACAAACCTGCAAGTGTGAAGCTTAACGTGGGGGATGGATGCAGAATAATAAAATAAATTTAAAGAAAACACGTGTAATTTTATTTTAAATTCAAACACAGTTATAAATGGTAATATGATCCTGGAATGAAATAATTTTTTATTTGAACAAAGTACAGCTGTTTGAGATGAATAATATAATATTATATATATATATATATANCGAAATATGTACTAGGTTTAGTTAGTTATATATATATATATATATATATATATATAACTAAACCTAGTACATATTTCGGACATTTACCAAAGCTACTTTGTGATTGTCAACATTCCACGACGGAAATCAACAACCACCGGTTTCAGTCATTCAGAATAACACATATATGTATATTATTTAAATTTTCTGAAGAGACAAAATGACATCGCAACTATTCTTGCTGCTGACTTTGCGCCTGTCTATTTGAGCAAAAATAATGAAAAATATTGTGGGATTATGAAGATAATAACTTATATTTATCATATATAACTTATATATACCATAAAAGATAGTGTCGTATCAAAGTCTCTAAATGACAAGACCGCAGGATCAAATGCAGTAGACAAAACCACGAATAATACATAATCGAGGATTGTATGTCAGTCCTTATTGATATTTCAAAACAATATATATGAGATAAGAGTTCCAGAAAAATGATAAAGTAGAAACACGTTCTTTTACAAAGGATATACATTCACGTGCGAGTCATATCCCGGTATTCACTACACTGTTCTTATTTTAAGGTTATAGGCCATTGATTAGCTTAAACTCGCTTGGTAAAATGACCAAGAGAGAGTAAAAGATGTTAGAAACATAATTTGAGTCTCGTTATAAAGGTTTTTCATTTTTTCTCCTTGCTAAGAGAAAAAAAGAGTTGAAAAGAAAGAATAAACAAATGCAGGAGCACAAATGTTTTTTTTTTTAAATTATATATATTTTCTTACATTTACCTTTATAAGTAATTTTTAAATGCATTTTACACTAACTGACTTATCATTGAAGATTGAGAAAGACTGTTCATTGTATTCCTAGGATGTCTGAAAGAGTCCGTCTGGCCTTTCCAGGATAGTTAGTTGGTAAATAAATTAGACATCGAAAATCTTAAGAAATTAATAATAAATATATTAGTGACTTGATCATCAAAATTATGCAATATCTTATTTTATTTCATTAATATTTGATTAAAATATTTAATTAAACGGAACACTTAATTTTTTTATTATGCGTATGCATTAGTTTCCAAGATAATTGAGTTTCGTTTTCTTTATAAATAAAAATTAAAAAGATATGCAGAAACATTCTTGTTTTCTTAAGGAGACTTGTACCTACAAAAAGGTACCTTGCACACAACCTAATTGGGGTCATGGGGTACCTACTAAAATGCCTTTGGAGCCACTCTAACCCTTCCCGTTATCCTAGGTATTAGTTTCTATGTACACACTCCCATAAAGCTAGCTCATGAATGATTAAATAGGAACTTAAATTGGATCAAATTATAAATAAACGGAAAGGTTCAATACTTTCAACTAGTTATTTTTGAATTACAGAATAATAAAAAACGAGCGGGGCAAAAATTGCCTTTTTTCGAGTGTAAAACGTTGTAATAAATATTAATTTACAAAATTATTGGAAATTATACATATTTTAATAGTATTAAAATTGTATAAATAAATTATTATTTTAAAGTTTTCTTCATTTTTAAAAACTCTGTTTTTGCTTAAGGCAACATCATAAAATAGGATAAGCAGGTTCATAAAATTCTACTTTTACTCTACAAAAAACTTTTCATTATTTCGCTTTTAGAAAATAACTTATTTAAAAGATATAAGTTTTCGAAATAATATCATTAAGTTTAAATTATTTAAGTAGCTTTAACTCATTTAAATGCTCGTCCTTCTCTTTTCGATCAAGCTCTCATCTTCTCAGATTCCCAAGCTGCGATTCTGGCCATTGCCAACTTCTCTCAAGCCCCTAGCTCTTTGTCCATTGTGAAATGTAGATCTTTAATGACAGAAATGGGTGAAAAATATAAAACCTTACAATGGATCCCTTCCCACTGTGGTATCCCCGGCAACGAAAAAGCGGATGCACTGGCCGTTGCTTTGTTAATCAAGCCCCAAATAACTTGGTTAGCTGTAAGTCCACTTCATTAATGTTTAATCATGCAATTAAGACAACGCATATATCATTGCTAAAAGAACGGACGATAGAAAAATCGTGGAGAAATGACATCCTTAATCTCCCCGATTGCCTAAGAAGCAGTGCTGTAGCTGCCTTTCTGGATAATCCTCCTCTGCCGCAGTGGAGCGACGATGAACGCTGGGATTCAACTGTTCAGTTCTCACAAAGAACTGTATCTACTCCCGATACTGAGAGGCCAGAGATTTTTTGTTCAATTTAAATTTTGATTTAATTTTTGTGTTTGATGTTTTGGTTTTTTAATTTTGTATATTTCATCTCTTTCTGTATTTGTATTTCTCTTTTCTTTTGATCTCTGTACGGCGTTAGGATATTGTCTGTATCACCTGCTGCATTGGAAATAAAAAAATAAAAAAAAAGTTTAAATTATTTAAAAAAAATTTTTTTTATATAATTTTCGTCGATGTAATATGTTATAACTTTGACATGCATATTTCAAATAATCACTCTGACACATCGCAATAATTTCAAGTTTTTTTAAAAACATTATTTTACTTTAATGAAGAATAAAATATTTGGTTAAAACGAAATAAAATTCATATTCCTCATGTCAACACAAATTTTTTTTTGTTTTTATGGTCTAGAATTTAAAATTAAACGGAATTTAAACTAGAATTCTTATCCAGAAACAATTTCACTGAATAAAAAAGTTTAAAAAAAATAGTTTCAACAAAATAAATTAAGTAGGAAAGACCACGAATAAAAGGAAAAATTAATAAAAATCCGAAACTGAGAAGTGAGAATTTGAATAAAGAATTGTTTTTGATTTCACCTTCAGAAAAACTCTTTCATATTCGCATTCTAGTCAAAATCCATGACAACGTAAATAATTCTGTACTACTGAAATGTTTCTGTTCAATAAAACTCAAGACTAAAAGTATTCTGACTAATAATGAAAAGAAAAAGACGTACTTTTCTTTAAATAAAATAAGAGAAAGTGGTAATAAAGTATGACGTAAAAACTATGAAAGAAAAGAAATCGTTTATTTGAAATAAGCAACATCTTCAACTGCTCTGCAGATGCGAAGTTTATCCAGGAGTTATTAGTTTATTTTTACATTTTTATATTTAAGATTTAAGGGAGAAAGGAGACAGGGAAATGCGGTTGATAATGTGGTTTTTTTTAAAAAAAACAGTTTTAGGGCACATTTTTTAAGGATTGCAACAAAAACTTAATTTTTTTATTGAGTAAATCTCAGAGTTTTTCTTTAAAATAAGGACTGAAAATAAAATTTTTCATAACATTTTTTGACTTTTCTTATCAGTTTTATTATGCTGCTTTACACGAATTTAAAACAAATATTTTAATTTAGAAGTAAATTAATCTTAAACTATTTTAATTAATTTGTATTTTCGCAGCTATCACTATATAAATAGGCACCTAATGCAAAAATGAAGAGATGAAGAAGACTGAAAAATCATTAATTTAGCGGATTTCATCTAAGGGGGGTAAGCAACAGTTTCAACACTTATACTTTAAGGGTTGAAGCATAAAGTTTATTACTTATTGTGTAAATCTCTGATTTTTCCAAAACACAATGACAAAAAATATTTTTTTCGTAGTATTTTTTGACTTTGCTTATCAGTCAGCATTCTTGGCAGTTATTTAAAACAAATATTTTAATGTAGACATAAATATATTTTAAATATATTATTAATATATTACGCATTTTCATCACTATAATTGTGTAAATTGGCACCGTATGAAAAATTTTTGAAAAATTTTTATTTTTGCAAATAAAAATAATAAGATTTTTCAAAATGTCGTAGACCGTGAGAGGAAGACATTCCAAATAAATTTAGATCTGGCAATCCCAGCTCAAAAATATCTAAATAATAAAAAATCAAACTATAAATTCGTTTATAAAATCATAATAAGTGAACATTCTTAAACTCTTAAGCATCATTTTTTTCTAGTACTAAAGGTTAATTGGGGATTTAACGCATTTTAATAGTATTAGTAAAATAGGAGTTAAAAAATAGTAATCTACATCAAAATCCCGAAAGTGTTTTTTCTGATCATAAGTGAATTTAAGTTACCATACTACTATTACTATGTAAAAATGAGTTGCTGAAAATAAAAGCAAAAATGTGTCAAAATAACTCCGTATACTCGAATGAGATACAGCGAAATAAGTGAAATTAAAATTATTGATAACCTGATTAAGCTATTGCGACTATAATTACAACCCTAATTTTCCCCATTGCAATCATTTTTACCATTGAAATAGGTAATTAGTATGTGAAGGTGTGCCAATGGGGAGGAGCTATATTAAGCTTCCTAAGTGTTCCTGAACGAGGAACTATAGTGGATAGACCGTCCTGATGTGAACTCGAAGGTCTTTGCTTCGAACCCTCTTGGTAGCCAACGAATGTCTCTCTGACACCATTTTTGACATTATTAATTTATTCTTTTATATGAAATATCTATGGTAAAGCAAGTTCTGTAAATATGCTCAAAAGTTTTTGATTTGCATAGTTTATGAAATGCGTAAAATATTAAATTAAAAAAAGCGATGTTTATAGAGAGAACCTTTTGATTGCTACCTCTGATTATTTTTATGCCTGTTTTTTCCTTTCTTTTTAACCTCTTCCCTCTCACTCCCGTGAAATTTCCGGACTGGAGTGTTCAGTAGTAAAGCGCCAATAAGAATAAAATAATTCATTCCTTTTGCCCAGAAAACATTTTATTTCTCATTATACACCCAGATGTCAGTACCCGGATATTTTTTAAGGTAATTGTAGATAG